AAGGCCCTCTTTCCCCTATGTCCTCAACCTCCAAGAAAGCCTGCCTCTTCGTGACCAGTCACACTGACCTGTTAAGCTACTTAAGGTTGTGTACCTTGCAGAATTAAAGTCTACAGGGAATGAATTCCCAAGTCTCTAAATCAAATCTACTTTCTCTTTTAGCAGTACAGAATGCTACGGACTTCATAACAATTTATTTCTGAATTGATTTATTGTAATTGGGAAGCGATGTTTCACTCTGAACACCTGTATTAGGATGTTAACAATTTAAGTTTACATTTATGCTGCCGGGAACAATGAGCACAAGCTGAATTTCAAACTTTTAATGTTCTCTCACCCTAGTGTAAGCTGCAGTGTGCTGTTTGTGACTGGTACAGTCTTTCACCCAAAGCTATTTTGTCTGATGATAAAACCATGAGCGTATGAAGCTTGCACACTTTTCATCTCTTTTATGACCTTATCTTTCGTGAGCGGCTTCTGTGAAGGTATCCTAACTATAGGAAGCACCTGGAAAACATATATGATATCTGTGCTGTGATAAGCAGTTGTGAACAAGAAAGTAGATCTGTCAGTTCTGAACTGTTTATTGTTAAAAAATACTTTGTTGATTTAGCTGATTGCAAAATGCATTATAGAGTGACTAACAGCTGCTGTAACGTTTCTAGTCAAGACAGTTCAATAGTTATTGTATGAGAATTTCTGTAATAGGCTAATATTGATAGGAACAACATGAATTAAAACAGCAGGGTCGAGAATAACTGCTAACCCATGTGATTTCTTTCAAGTATTGCAACTACTGATACAAGCTGGTGAAGTAAAAATTGGGAAGTCTTTAATTTCTGTTAAAAATATTAAGGTGGATTACTTGTTAGTATTTAAGTCTCTTTTTTCCTACTTGTCAGTATTGTCAGAGATTTTGGAGTTCTACCTCACATGTTTCAAACAATATGAGTCTTTTGCAGTTTTCAGATTCCCTGATTAACTACAGTAATTTAGCATCTTCACTCTCCTGTATTGGATAAACACTAGTATATTAAAAACAACATAAAAAATCTTTGAACTATTTTTGAAGAGCCACATAACCAGTTCATTCTGATAAGAAATAGTTAATAGATGAAAATTTTATTCAAACAACTGCAGTACTGTAATATGGCTGTAGCAGTCATTTATTTTTTTCTCTTAGTTAATTAGTGTTTTGTGTATTCAGAACTTAAGCATAAGGCAGAGATTTGTTTCACCTAACTTTAGCTGGCTAAAGATAGGTTCTTGGTCTAAGCTACGTGTTCCAGAGGATGATTCATTTCAGCTATCTCAGACATCAAGAGAGGTCTCATATCTCAGACATCCTAGAATGGGATGAGTCATTGTGGAAGTTTCTCCCTCTCTCTTCCTTGACTATAGGAGAGTCCTCATAGTTAGCTTGGCCTAGCCTAACTTGCAGACATCTATAGGTGAAGGAACTGAATTCTGCCTAAAGTGTAGTTTTAATACTAACCATAGAGAAAGTGCTGAAAGTCTAGTAGAGTTAATTGACTCCTGAGTGAATGTGCTATATGATATTGTAGATTCTTGCTCATATATGTCTTTTTTTCATGCAATAATATCCTTTTAGATGACACAATTCACTTACGGAACTTAGTTGCCGTAAGAAAAAAAAACTTCAACAGAAGCAGTTTTTGCTTTCTTTTAGGGCATTTACCATTATTAATTCTTCTATGCCACTCATTGATGTTCATAGCAAAAAGTTATTTCTTCTTTAACTTAAAAATAAAACGTAACTGAACAGCAAAGTGAAGAAATAAGATGAGAAAAAGCAGCTCATCAGGTTAGAAAGGAGTTAAACAGGTTAGCAGCAAAATGATTGGTATATATAAAGGAAAAAAACACTTGATTCAATGTAGAAGAAGGAAAAAGAAAATGTGTTGGATCCAATTAAACTCAAAGACCTGTACCTGTAAATTGAAAAAAACTGTAATCACTCTTAAAATAAATGTAAATAAAAATAGTCTTACTGAGACTGAGAAATAGTGAATGAACAGAAGGGTGAACAATGGAAAGAAAATTAAGTTTGTAAGCTTTGGTCTAAACAAAGGTCAGCATCTAACATAGTGTTAAATAAGAGGAAATAAAAAAAAAAGCTTGAGAGGTACATTTTGTTATCAGTTCTTGTGCTAAGCCTCCTTTTATCTTCTTAAAGTCACCATTTCTTTACTATGGTAGTTTGAGTGTATAACACATGGACTTGGTAGTTGGTGAATAATAGAAAATATTCACATAAACAATCACAAATAGTTTTAGATAGGAAGCATAGTTTGCCTTAATGTAAATTATACATGTTTTGTTCTGCTCTGATTGCACAGGACATGCATTAATTCATGAAAACTTGATTATGGAAAACACACAACATCATACTTCATGAAACACTGAAAATGCAAGTTAATGAAAAGTTAAGCCTTCTGCTAACATAAATTTTCAGATCTTTCTTCATCTCTCAGATACTTAATAACTGCATGCTGTAGGTTGTATACCCTAGCTTTAACTCTGTCCTTCTTTTTGCCCTTCAGTCCAATCTTTTCACATAAGTTTATCCTCCTCTTTCAGTTCTAATAGTTTGTTTGTTTGATGTTCTGGTTGGTTGCATTGATTGAAAGAATGCTCAAATTTGCATGCTAACGCCAGGTTTGCATATATTATAACCTGGAAAAACTTTATATTTTGGAGCTAAAATTCTCCATGCTTGGGTTCTAGCTGAAGAAATCTTTTTATTATTTTTAAGGGCTGCTGTTTTTTAATTCAGTGCATATAGATCTATTGTTTACAGTGGAGGAAAAACATTTTCTTTGGTATAAGAAGTCAATGCAAAGACTATTTTAAGAGCTATATGTAGTGATTATGCAGCTTGAGTGAGACACTCATCATCAAAACAATCTTTCTGTGAAATGCCTTCTAACATATTGGAGAAAACTGGAGTTGATTTAGCCAGGTTTGAACCTTGGATAAAGAGTCCTTTGTCCTTCAATAAAGAGTGCTTTGTTGCAACCATGAGTAGCTGTGAAGCTAGAAATACCTGATAATAGGTTTCTCAGTCTATCAAACAAAAGCAAAACTCAGTTCAATTGCTACAACCTAACTAGAGAAATTCTAATGTAAAATCAGGCAGTTGATACAGACAAGTAATTGCTAAATGTACTTACAAGAAACTTGATGGATTTTTCAGTGTGCGAGTCTTTAAGACTCTCTTCTGTAAAGTAACTTGAGATTGAACTGAAGCACATGAACTGCAAACGCCTGGGTAAAATTATACAGTGTGTGTAACACAAAGTCATACTAGATGTTCATGATGCCTTTTAGCTTTAAGTGCCTGTGAATCCACTGAACTATATTTTTAGTACTTATTAGGAGAGTCTGGAGTGAATATGGTGTTCTGTTTGTGTGACTAGTAGTTTATCAGGCTCTTATACTTTAAGAGTTCAAAAACTACTTGTTTTATGAATGCAAGAAAGAATATATTATTACAAGATGCTACATGTGCACATAAAGTTAATACTTCATAGTGTTTGTATATGATCATGTACTTGAAAACTGGGTCACAATCTTATCAAGTATAAATATAGCTCTGTTGATAACATATGAGGATCTGGCATGGTGTATAATCACATTTCTTTACCTATGTTGCTAATAAAAGCTTTTCTTATCATGAGTGGAAAAAAATTGCAAGTTACTCCTTAATTGCTGTGCTTTTTGTTCCTCCTTGCTTTACTCTGATCAAATCAACAAGCAGTTTTGACTTTGAGATCCTGAAACGCACAACATTTGCTTTTAATGCTGCTCCCTTTCTGTTGGATCCTTTTTTCTTTTTTTTTAAGTTTGCTTGTATGTTTGTACAAAATTTAAACCATGAATTAGTCCTGTTTGATTGATGTACTTTATTGTGTAGCTATAATTTTTCCATTCTTCATAATATCTTCCTATGCAAGGGATTTCTTAGATTCGTTAGTAAAAAACCCAGCCCAACCCAACCCAAAACAAAATCTACAAACACAGTAAATTACTGGCTTGACTAAGCACTCTAACACATTGTTTGAACATTTACTGCAGCCAGACCAATTTGTGCTGTTACCTGAACCCCTCACCTTCAATATTTTTGTTTGTAGTGTTTTTTCCAAAGTATTTTTTGCATAGAGCTTGCCTAGAATCATTGTTTAACTGAAATAGCTGCACATTCAACAATAAATTTTTCAAATAATAATGAATAGTCACCTCTAAAAATCTAACAGGAGCGTAATGTTCAGTGTGTCCTTATTCTTATACTGGATAGTTATTGAAGGCAGACAAGCTTTTTCAAGTACTTCAAGGTGGCAAACAACCTAAAATTCATCAAAAATGTTACATTTATTTAATTTAAGGTTTACAGAGAGAAAGTTATCATAAGGTTTTGTGAGTAGCTTAAAATCTTTAAAGTGAAACTCCTTATTTTCCTAAATACCATGGAATAGATCTCCACTATTTGCCAAAAATGCTAGAATTGCTAGAGGACCACATCTCTGTTGTGAGTATCATTAATCTGCAATATATAAGCAACATTAGGTGTCATTTCAACACAGCGTTTAATTGAAAGCTATTTTTGCTTATTCACCCCTTTAGCCAAGGAATAACAAGCCAATATGTTTCTCCCATTTGTGTATAGAAGCTTATGACCTTGTGTTCATTGCTTTACAGAATAGGTGCAAGCTGCGATTCTCTTTTTCTAAGTATCCCTGATAAATGCTGGTTTCCAAGATTTGTCTCGTAGCGGAGTGAGTACTCGGGCCTTGTTTGAATTACTGGGAACTTACGGATTTTTGTGGCTAATAATAGATTTTTTTCCTCTTCTCTATGCTTTTAGACATGCATATGTTCTCACTTATACTGGTAAGCGCTTGCTTGGATACTATAGGAGCTCTGTCTAAAAGTTACTGTAGAAATATGTCAATACTATATTTCTTTGTTTGTTTTTTCAGGCAATGAAGAAGGCATCCAAGAGGCAGCAGAATCAGATGGTGATGCAAGGTCAGAGAAACCAGGGCAACTTACTGTGGAGACAGAAGATTGGGATGGGCCAGGTAGGAAAATACAACTGAAAACCCTGAGAAATTTTTAAACTACAAATCCCAAAGTTTGTTTTTTATGTTTTAGTATATGTGTTCTGCTTTGCATTGTTTTTCAAGTGAACTGTTTCCTTTCTGCTCCTTTGTTGTCAAGGATATCAACAGATAAATACTGAGATAAAGATCTTGAGTAAAAATTTGCTTTGGCCATACTCTTTTGTGAGTAAATTGTTTAATGTAAAATACTTTAGAGCTCCGCTTGAAATAAAATATTGCTTACAATTTTAGGGTTAATAAGTTCCCAGTTCCCTGGGTGTATTAAGGCAGAACCTTTTCTACTCTGTGTTCTGAGGCCAGAAGACCAAACACCTGTGTATCTTCTCAAGCTTTGTGCCTACATTTAGCAGCACATTTTGCTTAACAAATGGATATGATTACTACCAATATATTCAAGGGCCTCTTTTACCGGTTTTAGCTTGATATAAATCATTTGGCCATTGATTTCAATTAAAAGAGAAAATCTTAGATTGCAATCAATAAAGTGTTAGAACTTCACGTGATCATAGTGAAGATCATACTTTCTAAACATCTGTTCAATATAGATATGTAAAACTTGGCTTGGCCCATTAAAATACCTAAGGTGAAGGGATAAATTGTATTTCTGAATTAGGCAATTCTCCAATGGAATTCAGTGCAATGTTTTCATTGGGTATGGAGTGTGGAATGAATCTTAAAATCTTATATTTACTATGTTTTAATAGTGCTGCTGGGAAAACAGAGTATGTTTGGCTTCAAATACGTGAGAATAGCTGTATCTCTAATGGAAATTTTCCCTAAAAAAGATGAGCATATCAAAAAAAGATTTTCAGAAGCATTCTATCAATAATTTATAATGCAGTAATAATATTTCATTAGAAAAATTCCTTTATTTCAATCACATTTTCATCCTTGCTTGATTTTGCAAATTACTATATGCTATTCATAAAGAGAAGAACAACACTAATGGTAATTTTCTGAAAGTAATAGCTGGAAAATGTAATGGAAACAAAAAAGAAGAAATAGTATATCTGATTATGATGATGTCATTTAAAATATTTTTAGTGATAATACACAAGTAAGTTGATATTCTGTTTGAAGCACTATGATGTTATATAAAACAAAATTTAGTATTAAAATACATCACAATACATTTAAAATAACAGAAAAAACATCTTTAGATAAAGCAGAATAGCCTTTTCCAGCTTCATTGCAGAGTTAGAGGCCCTCAGGACTTATTATTTTTTTTCTTTGTTTCATTGCAAAAAAACTCTCTCTGAAAATGGTAATCTTTTTATTACTTTTTTACTTTTATTATATTTCAATATAGTTGGATTTTTTTGGCTGTTACTATTTTTTTTTAAGAACCAACATATAGAAGTTTCAGATGCATTTTTAATAACACTAAGGCATGAAAGGGATAAGGTTGTATATTTTGATTTTTTTTTTTTTAAATAAAATGTTGTATATGAATATTGCATGACAGTCCTGGGTGTTAAACAGTAAGATGTATGTAGCTCTTATAATCCATATTTATTGATAGCTTATATTTGGGATAAGATAGAAATCATAGCTGAATACAGAGAAATTCCTTTTGACCGTAGAAAACTGATGGCCACAAGCATGAACTCAGAAGCTTTATTTTATTTAAGTATTGGTTCATTGCAAGGGAATAATTTATATGAAAAATGGAAAGGAATGGATACACCACCACATTTCATACTCTCCATCTTGCATGCTTTCTGAAATGAATTCAGTTACTTGTTGATACGGAAAAAGCAATGATCAACAGAAGATCATTTTCAACCATGCAATACAAGAAAAAAGATAACTTTTTCTTTTGCATCTTTGAAGAAAACAAGGTGAAATCTTTTGCTTATTCAGGGACATATGGTAGTACACCATAAACAGAACCAGTACAAGCTTTCCTGCATCACTTTACCAACATATAATAGAGATGCGCCCTCTGAGAGTAGGTGGTCATATGTTGTTTGCGGGTCTACCTCTGATCTCCTCACTAAGAGCTCTCAGAATTCCAGCACTGGCAGTTCTGTGGGATACGAGTTGCTGTCCACTGATAATCTGAACTGTGACAATTCAAGGATTCATGTAAATGAAATTATTTGTGAAAGCTATTTTGTTATTTTAATTTTTTCTTTTTATATGGCAGGAGAGCATATTGTTATTTTCAGAGCCAGTACTTGCCAGGAAGAGTTCTGAGTTATTCATTAGTAATAACTTACTCTTGGATGAGTCAAAATTAAGCTTACAGACATGAACTGAAGTTTATTTTGTTTAAAAATTTACGTTGCTATATGGTTCACGTGCAATCTCAAACCTTTGTAAATAGAATATTTGTATGAAGAAAAATCTATAGTTAAATGTGCTGTAGCGTCAAACAGTTTCTGCGGAGGCAGTCTTTCAGATTACAAGATTATGTGACCTTCACTGGCTGTCAAGGACTTCATGCAGTGATGATGCCAGCACTGTGCAGTCATTAGGAGTTTTATCTGAAAATTTTGTAAACTTATTGTCGTTTTTTAAAAGTTCTTGTTAATGAGAAGAAGACTCTGTGAAATAATGGAAACTGAGGTCAATAGACCGCATACAGACACAGAGTAGAAGACCTGATCCTTTTTCCGTTATTGCTAACAGTAAAAGTCTAAGGAATAAGAAGAATCTGCACAGCAAGACTGGGCTTAAACAAATTTTATATGAAAAGATTTATTTCTTTAAAAGTGGAGAGGAAATAAAAGCATAGGTCATTTTACAGCCTCAAATGTAGTGTTTGCTATCATATGCATGCCTTGATCTGTGTAAATGTATATAGCTCTATAACCTTTATGCTGTTGCTAGGATAACAGTACATCTGAGGCCAGTGATCAATGTTTTAACAGATAATGAACAAAAGGAGGAACTCATTCATGTCTTCTGCAGACTATCAATCACACTAGAGAATAGGATCATTGCCTTTTAACTGTACAACTACTTTATGTAAGAGCAAAAACCTGCTAAACTTGGGGAACTGTGAACAAAACATCCTAGAGGTTACATGTGTGCAATACCAAAACTTTCTTAAAATCTTTGAAAACTAGAGATGTAAGGTTCCTAAAGTAGAATAATGCTGAACCAAACGTAAGGAAATTATATTTAATTCACCATCTTGACAGATAAAGGAAAAAGGTTTACATTACTTGCTTAGCATCTAGAGATCTTGCAAAATATTTGAATGAAGAAGGATGAATCATAACTTGGAAGTATCTAAGAGCACATTTCCCAAAAGCTTTAATAAAAGCTATAAAGCTTTTATTATTTTATTGGCTTTTTAAAGTCTTTTTTATCAAAAGCTTTTATTAAAGGCTTTTATTAGTTCTGTTTCAAAGAAAATTTAAGAAAAATCCAAGTTTTAAAATCAATGGGAAAACAGGATAAATAAATACCAGGGGATATAAGCCGAATAGTAGGAATTGCAAACAGTCACTAAAAGAAAAGCATGTAAGTAGAAGTCTATGGGTAGCTTCATTAGGATAGTAACATGGCATTTGAAGACATACCAAGGAAGAATGCATGAGAAAGATTGGTCTTGATCTATTACAAGAAAGGTATAGTTGTTATAGGGGACAAAGAGTAGAGTAATTTAAGTATTTCTGATCTGCTTAAAACAGATATTTGAGATGGATAACATATTTATCTGTAAGTGATAATTGTTCTTCTACCAACAACTAATCAATATGTTAAACCTGCTTGTTCCTAGGTAATTTAAGCAGTCTGTTAGTTTGATTTTAAGTTTTGTTAGTTTGATTTTAAGTTTAAGATTTTAAGCCAGCTAGAAGTCTTGATCACAAGTCTTAATTTTGAAGAAGTTTTGAGATAATTTGGAAATCCTAGCATACTAGAGGAAAAAAATTGTGTTTAAAAAATCTAAATCCGGTATGGTCAGGATAACGATGGACTTGTCCACATGGCAGTGGTCCCAGTGGAAATAATGGGATAAGTGATGTAAAACCCTTTTATTAAAGGGAGGTTAGTATTAATGCCAATCATTATAGGAAAAATAATGAAAAAAATGAAAAAATAGGTCTTGTCAAACTAACATAGTATGTAATGATGAGAAACAGCATACTGGTTCTCTGCAATATGTTTACAATCCAAAGAAAATATTAAATAATGGACAGATCTTGCTATTGCAGGATCTGAATTACCTGACAACTTCAGCAAAACATTAGTTTCATTATGATCAAATGTGAAAACGTGTGCTTATGAGAAGAAAATAAATGTTTTACTGTGGATGGCAGTGTGTCTGAAAAAGTCCTGGGACTTGGTGGGTCAGGGATGAGCTCCAAAAGTTAGAGTTAGGGCCAAAAGACTTATTTGGGTTCTTGGATTATTAAACCGGGTGAAATCAATTAGGAATAGAGAGGTTAACTTGCTTTTCTAGGTAGCACAATTGTTTGATGCTGGAACAGTATTCTTTTTCTAGCATTCCGAGTTTGTGAAAGATGTTGAAAATTTGACACAGGTTCAGAGAAGAGGCACTAGAATGTTTAAAGGACTGGAAAACATGGTAGTATTATGAAAAAGTCTATGAAAAGGTCTGTTTATTTTGTCAAAGAAAATATTGAGGGACAGCCTGATTACTATGACTTCCAAAGTTGAGTGGAAATGTGATAACAATAAGCACCTTATTTTAGCAAAGGAATCAGAAGATCAAACGGATGTTGAAGCTCCACGGTTTTGAACACAAAGAATAGACTTTAATGCTTAAGGAGTTAATGACTAGAACATTTTATGAAAGGTCACTGTAGATTTTTGTCATTAGAAATATTACATTCAGGATAAGATATTTTTCTGGAGCACATGATCTGGTTTTATAATAAATACTTTATTTTTAAGTGGGATAGATTAACCGAAGTCAACCTGTCTTCTACAGGATCAGAAGTCAGACTGGCTGAGCACAGTAATTACTTATAACTTAAAAT